GAGGAGGGGGAGGGAGAGAGGGAGGGGAAGAGAGAGAGAGTGCAATTTTGATCAAGAAATAAAAAAATCAAACTAGATTTTGTCATGTGCAAGAAATTTGGCACAGGCACTTAGCATATCATGAAAGTTTTCTTAGTAGGCTGTATTTGAAGAAAGAGAGACAAGGCGATTCTGACCAAAAAGAAAACTTACAATGGATTAAGACAAATGCCAGAAATATTAGACGGTCAGCAATTAATCACTTGAAGCAGGACTCATTTTGAAAAGGACACAGAGCATTTAGTTTTTCATCATATGAATCCACTTCTAAATGTATATATGACATGGCAAAAGAAAGACAAATCCAGACTACATAGACAGCATTTCAATTATTGGAATAGGCTGCATTTAAATGTGACACAACACAGGCAGCTATTCAGGCCAAATATACACAAACATTTATTTTTTTACTGCTATATAAAGGAAGGAATATTGTGCACACTGCATTGTTATTATTTCTACTATTTCTGGTGGGCTGTGTTGTACTAAATCCCTTTTTAGCATTTGAGGAACAAAATTAATTAAAATATGATTTTTTTTTGTTATGATTACAACAGAATGAATATGCTACACACCATATACATAATATTTACACAATTGATTTTTGACCACATTGACTAAATCACATCCACATTTATCTTAGGAAAGACCCCAAAAATGTTACATTTATATTTGTCAGATTTTGATTAAAGCAAAAATCATACACATAACATACATATTATTTCTACAATTTCTTGTAAACTAAACGACATCTCCATTTATCTTTGGGTAAAAAATAGATTCATCATATTCAATTAGAAGTCAAAAGAAAAGCAAAGTTTATATTTTAAACATTACACTGTAAGGATTATTGTGCACACTGCATGAGTGTAATATTATTAATTTTCTAGGAAAACTTTTAAGGGAAAAAGACCAAAATAAAGTGAAGGAATATGTTACAGAATTAACAGTATTGCAACAATCTCTTTAGGTCGTATTTTTAAAATGACAAACCACATGCAGTCTTGCAGCCCAAACATCCACATTTAAGTTTATATATATATTTCACATATATGTCACGATCTGTGGACCGGGGCACCAGAGCACAAGAGCTCCAGGTCTTCAGGAGTGGGTTGGAGTCATGGACTGGAGTGATATCTTGGATGTAGGTCACTGGGGACTTAGGAACTAATAGTCTGTGCATTATCAGGGACACACTAGAGGTGCAGAGTCTAAGATGGGCCTGGTCTTCTACAAAGCCTCCAATGGGGAGGATGCTTGGCTGCCGGACATCTTCCAGGTTGCGGCCCTCTAGCACACCCGCACAGACTAAGAGGGCTAGTGGCAGCACCGGGGTACTGGATGCAGTGACAGGTAGGGAAGAACCCTGAAGCCAAGAAATATAGGATAGTATCACTGTACACAAGTAGAGGGACACAACTAAAGGTTCAAAACGAAATGCACACGATACACAAAAGAGGGAAGCAGCACAGAGACACTGGAGACAGCGGTACATGGAAAAGGTGCGTAGCAAAAGGTTTACCAGGAGCACAAAGTTACAACAACGCACAAGGGACGTGCGTTGCACAGAGGTACGGGGGTAGCAGATCCACATAGGAAATGTAGGTACAAGGAGAACCAGGAAACACAGAAGATATGTACATATATATATATATATATGTGTGTGCATATACGTGCAAATGAACATAAATATATATGTGTAAAAAACATACGCACATAATGCATATGCAAAATGGTATTGTTGTAAAACTCATACCAAAACGAACATTCTAAAAAATATCTAAATCTTAATAACGCCCTGTAGGTGTGTATTGGAGACTGCCTCTTATTCGTTGAAAAGTCTAAAATAAAGGGGTGACTTTGAACCAACTGCAGGACATTACGAGACATGCCAACAGGGTAACAGGAGTGTAAGAATATAGCCTGCGTGTGTGTGTGTTATCTCTTGGCCGAGTCCTGGAACTGGAACACAAACTCCAGGATAAATCCAGACTCTCCCGGGGAGGGGGGGGGGGGGGGGAGAAGTCCCAAACTCCCCGTTTAAGATTGGGAGTGACGCCTGGGACTCGAACCTGAGAAGCCGTCTCCAACCACCAAACGCGTGCTAAACTCCGCAGTTGTGAATCCCAATTGCCACTAAAGCAGTCGTGACACAGGGATCCAAGAAGTCACAAGGAACACAAGTGGTCTAACACAAGGGATAATACTTGTTGGTCGAACCCAGAGCAACAAGTGAGGTAAGGGTAAATAGGGGAGGAGGAGTGCAGATTGGCTGCAGCCTTGTGAAACACAATAGGCTGACAGCCAAGCAACATGGAACAAAAGGAAAATCCTGCATGGATTCCCAGATTATGTGACAACATAAAAGAGGAACACATGTTTTTTCCGATTTAAAAGATTTTGGTGGAAGATAAACATCAATTTTGTATTTATACACACTATATGCACTTTGATTAATAATTTGCTGGGAGAAGGAGAATGTTTACACTAAAGAATGGACTTTGAGCAGTTTAACACATTCTAAATAATTTATAGTGAAATCTTTATTAGCACTTTTTTGCACTTTATGAATAAATACTCAACTGCAATACTTGTTAGTATTGCAGCTGATTATTGAATTATTAAAGCCAAGCATGGTCTTATTAGTCGATTATGAATAATAAGAATAGTTGGCAACTATTCTTATAATCGATTATTATTGATTATTTGATTAGTTGATTGCAGCCCTAGTACACATCACAATGCAATTCACAGTAATGGAGCATTGAACAGCACAGTGAATGGGGGTGAGGGGGGTAGTGGTGTTCTCCACTCTCTCTAGTCCACCACACTGAAATTCACTGTAATGTAGCAATGGCACTATGCAGCACATAGCACTGTATAGCTCTTTATGTGGCATTGGTTATGTTTTTACATGAAGCACTGAGATCTTGAGGAATGTTGCATTAAGTTTTACTTACTTGGAAGAACATTGTATACATGTATATAGGAATACAGCATTATGCAGCATACAGAGAGAACTTCCTGTGTATCATAGATATGTATGCATATAGAAAACTAACATTGCACTACATCGTCACCTACAGCTCAAAATTACATCTCAGTAATACAATCAGTACATATCAGCATATTCTGGTGTATTTCCACATGTAGCACTGTACAACAGAAATTATCTTTCCCTAAAATCACTTTGACTGTCATCTCTGTCCCTATTTACTGCTGACAAAAGGCTGATGGGAGAGCTGACTTTTATAGGGAGGAGGCTGGTACATTTGCAACACCAAAAATTCAAACCCCATCCCTAGTTTTCACCTGATCCTCACTTCCTTCTGAGTTGCATCAAGCTGCTTTTGCCATCATAATTGACATGCATGGGAGAGAAGCAATTACGATGCAAACAAACAACCGTGTGTATAAGGCGTATTGCTTTTTTTAACCTCACCCGAATGTCCAGATTGGTCAGCATTTGACTAGTTTCATGAATTTGCATATGTATAGCTATCCTTACACTGAATACAAGACAAACCCACCTTTGCTTGCATTTTACACTGCTTACCTGGCAATACATTGTAATTTGGTGCCTGCTCTTTGACTCCTAGAACTGCTTGCAAGATGTGTACTGTAGTATCATCTCCATCGTACAAAGGAACACTTGTTTTAGGAACTGGAATGGGAGACGGCTGGATCAGTTGCTGCCTTCCAGATGAACTCTTTAAATAAACTCTTCTGCGCCTGTTATGATTCCTTCTCCTTTGCTGTTTTTGAGGAGATGAATTTCCATCTTTAGCCCATGCAGTACAAACAGAAATCAGCAGAAGTAGGTACATTAGGTAGTAAGACCTCATCCTCAAGACAACTTCAGCAGTCAGCAAGGTCAAACGTGGCCTTCACAGTCCTGGGCATAAAAAGCATGATATAAGACAACTGTTCCTGTCACACATAGAGAGTATAAAAAGCCATTGTGAATTGAATAAATATTATGTATATTCTGTAGGAGGCAGGGAGTTGAGACAAAACACAACATTCAATAAAAATAATTTTCCATACTGCTGCAGTAGTTGGCCAGGTGTACAGGGTATGTGTGTCTTTGAAGGGTCATGCTTTTTTGTTACTCACCTCTACTGCTATATATATTCTAAAAAGGATTGTAAAGAAAGGAATCCTTTACGCACTGAATAAAGTGACTGCTGCTTTAGGATTTGACTGCTAAAGTTATTATTTTTGAAACATTTAAACAGTTGTATATTGTATCACACACCACTGAAATACTTTATAACCCTGCAGTGAACCATGGGTTATACTACTGCCTACAAGAGGATATGATGCTATGCAAAAGAACATGGCACTAGCCCCTAGGGCCTATAGCTTCTCCCATCACTAGCCTGCTCAGTTTAGCATAGCGTCCTCAAGAGACTAGACATCTTTCACAGCTCTACTGTTTCACAACTTATTCAGTGAGATTTTTTCTTTCTTCAGTTAACAACTGTTTGTAGATTAAGGCTGGATATTAAATTTTAGAAGTCACTCCAGTCAGCATTGAAGTGCAGGTTTTCTCAATTGATTGAAATATTAATAATCTCACTGTGACTGCCCTGCAGTGTCAGAATCCTAGCAGAGCCATGCTTGGATGTTCCTTCTTGTAAGCACATGATTCTGTTTAATGTGTCATGTCAGAGGATCCCTGTCTTTGAATACACTGCAAAGCCCACTCCAGGTCCACAACCATGGCAGCCATGTCCCTGCCTCTGAAGAGTGAGTACACTGTATACAGCACACGGGCTCTGCCAGATGATTCCTTGGTCTTTATTTCCTTGGGGTTTTTGTGGTACTGGTGTCGTCATTGGGGCTGGTCCCTATCACTTGAAATTTGGCCACAATTGTTTTCTGTCAGGTTCTCCTTAGCCGGGCTTTTGGTGAAAAATGACTTTCAGGAAGGGGTGGAGCATTACTGGAAAAGGGCCTGCAGTTTTGGAAATAAACTATTGTTCAGGTAAGGATTTTGAGACTGAGCCCAGCTTAAGTAGAGAGGTTAATGGCCAGGCTGGGTGGAGACAGGACTTGCAGATGATTACATCACTCAGCAATCAAGCGGCAATGCCTATAGCTCTCAGAGTATTGCAACAGTGACACAAGAGAGAACTACTTGTCTGTAGAACTGCAGGCAACAGAACAGCCTTGCATGTTTGTGGAACTGCAGATAACATAACAGCCTTGCAGTTAACTATAGTCAACAGGTTTGTAGAACACACGGTGCAGGTTTGTAGAGCTACACAGAACACACATATAACAAGTGAATGTTTGTAGACGTATAATTAACAGTTCAACTGCAGCTGATCTGTGACATTACTCCCCCTTTTAGGACCCTCCGGCCTCCTTGGGAACGGTCGTTTACCAACTTAGGAGTATGACAATCAGAGTGAGATTCAAGGCAGACAGAAGGAACAGCAGCAGATGACATAGGTGGAGACAATAAGTAGAGAACTAGGAAGATTTTGCCGCCGCCACCGCCACCACCACCACCGAGTGGCCTTTGCATTCTCTAATTATGTAAGCACAAGTAAACTGATGGACCAGGGAGCTTCTTAGTATCCAAACCTAGCACTAGGCAATCTCCAAGACCAAGTATATAACTGGGAACCAAGCCAGTAGACTCAATTATGTCTCCATCTAAAGAACACCAATGTCCAAGGAGTGATGCTCAGAGGAATCATAACCTAAAAAAATGTGAAAGTGAAACTGGAGCTTATAAAGCAAAACTGAGCCAGGTCAGAACCCTTTCACTGGAGCTTACCACAGAACAATGCCCACTGGGGACCAAGTTCAAGCTGCTGAAACCAAGTGTCCTCGAGATTCTCCAGAAGAGCATAAGAGTCTCCCAGAAAACTCAGGGGTTTTTTTTCCAGGAGCACAAAGAAACATATAGAAGCCCACTGCCCCTAAGAATCCATAAACATCTAGCCTACAAGGGTGCCTCCACTATTGGGACATGCTAGAGTGCAGGCAACACTAGAGCATGGGTACTCTTAGGACTTGCCTAAATGGATGCAACACCTGGGCAAGTCTAGTCAAAGGCTGTATCTGGACATACTTGGACAAAAGCAACATCCGGGCACACTGTGATAGAATAGGTATCAGAGTGGTGCTTGAACCTCCCAGCAAAAGAAAGGATGCCAGAACAATTGCTTTTGCTAAAGTAATTACACTGGTTAATTAGCTGTAAAATAGAAGGTAGCTTGGAGGCCTCAGATATAGGGGGAAAAGGATGGGAGGATTCTAGATTACAAGTAGTCAGTCTGGGGGAATTTCTCAAAAGAGGTTGGAGCTAACAGGGCCTCAGAAGAGTGTGGTACTAGCAAATTTTCAGAAGAGCATGCCACTGACAAAGTATTGGGACAGCATTATACAAGTAAAGTATTGGGAAAGTGTAGCACTGGCAACGTCTCAAAAGAGCATGGCACTAGCAAAGTATTGGGAAAACGTGGGACTGGTAAAATCCCAGGGCAGCATGCTACTGGCAAAGTCTTGGGCTACACAGGCAAAGTCAAAAGTCTTGGATTGTGGTTAGGAGCAACTCTTTTAAAAATTGTCATCTCGCTTGAAGGCTTGTCTAGGGTGTTTATTTAAATGGAAATGTAGGAGTTAGCCAATGTGTTTGAGGGGAATTATGTTCCCCTTTCTTCAGGGCTTGTGCAACAATAAGAAGTAGTGAATTCAGGAAAATCTGTACTTTGCAGCCTGAATTGGGGCTGGATGAGCACTGATTACAACAAAAATCTGCGCTCTTGGAAAATGAACTAAAATAATCAAATAGTGGTCCTAAAGCTGCTATGAGAAGTGTGGATGTGAAAATATGAAGTGTAGATGAGCACTGAGTTTCAACATTTGCAGTGGGGTCTGGATCTGTCTCACTTACAAAGGATGCAATCATCACGGCAAACGGGTTACACTCAGTGCTCATCCAGCCCTAATTCAGGCTACAAAGCACAGCTCTTACTGAACTCACTACTTACCCATAAATAAACATTAGTTCATCCAGGGAAGGCTGGTTTAAATGCAGAAGAACTAAACCTAGAATCCGAGGGGGTTGTCTCTGGATGCTGGGCCTTAGAGGCAGACTCGAGGCACTGAGTCTCAGGGACATATATGGAGCATGTCTGTTGAGTCATTGGGTCTGGATCAGTAGCAGGAGGCAACCTGGGAGCTAACAGATCTTGTACAGGAATCACATTTAGTTGGGGAGTCTTCTTTCTTTTGTCCAGGTATAAATGGTTTTCCAGAGTTGTTTTTCCACAAATTTTCTCTAATTAGGGCTGCAAGACTATGTAGATATCAGTCATTTGGTGTTCCCATCAGACTCAGAGTCACAAGATTAATATGTGGCCCTAGAGGTGGAGACAGAAGCAGGAAGCACTACATCAGTATTGGAATTCACAACTGAGATAGATCTCTTAGAATAAGGATACCCGGTACTGGAATATCTATAACTGTTATCCTCTGGCTCAACTTCCAAATAATCAGTTTAATCTTTAGAATGCATTTAACCTGCTTGGTATTCGGGATACCTATCATCTACTGCTCCATCCTCTAAACAATCAGTCCAGTTGTTGGAATCCATTTTCCCTGCCTGGTATATGGGAGGGTAAATAGAACATCTGGTCTGAACTTCCTGTGAAACAGAATTGCTGACATGAGCTGTTGCCATGGGAAACTAGGACTGTAGCCTCACAATAGCAATAGTTTTGCAGCCCGGGGGTAATCTCTGAATACCCAGTGGCACGGAAAGCTCTGGAGTCACCAGACAACAGAGAATGCTCCAGGGTCACTGGAACAAGAGACTCTGGAAGGTACTGGACAGACTGAGATGCACACAAACAAAAGTCTCTGGAAGCATTGGGGCACTGGAAACACAGACTTGCACAGTAGCAAGACTGTCTGGGAGAATGGCAGGAGTGTTAGAGTCTCCACGAGCATAGAAATGCAGGGATCTCTGGAGACACTGGAGTCACAAGAGGGCACAATGGTTAGAGTCACTGTAGGCACATAGGTGCAGGGATCATTGGAGAAACTGAGGTCACAGGAATGCTCTGGAATAACAAAGTCACTGGAATACTAAGGATACAAGAACTAATTAGGAACTTGGGGCGACTCAGAACTCATGGTCACTCAGAACAGAGGCCTCCAGCTAGGAAAATAATATATTGCTCAGGCAAGTAGTGTGAGACTAAGCCCAGCGAGAGGTAGGTGGCCAGGCTGGATGTGATGTGGACTGGCCACGTAGCTGAATAAATCAATTAGCAGGTAAGACATGGTGATGAATATATCTCTCAGACTAGTGAAACAGTGAGGCCTACAGCTGATCTGTAACATTACTGTTATTTTAAGAGTAATAAAAGATATGCGAGTTCAGCAGTGAGGGTCTCTACATTAAATAAACCCCCATACATTTGTATTTCTCTGTTGATTTTAACCATCTGTCAGTCATTTTTCTTGTGCAGTAGGATAGCAAATTACAACCTTCACACTAGTGCTGGGAAGATATCTAAAGGTAGCATCAGCTTGATTCTGCTTGCAAATTCAGAAGTTACACATTATCCTCATATATTAATTCACTTGAATCTGCTCTGTCAAATAGAGCAGTGCTCCCCAACCTTTTTATCGCCGCGGACCGGTCAACGTTTGATAATTTTACCGCGGCCCGCTGAGGGGGGGTTGTTGATTGTTTATATTTTGGATTGTTTTGATTTAATAATTTTAATTTAAATGTATTTAAACATGCCTTCAAAATAAAATACAGTTACACCAAAAAATGAATATGTCACCAGTACTGTGTGGGCAGCAATATAATATATAAAGGAAAACGGCCTCTTACTTCTGACTTGTTTAATTATTCATAGATGTAAGGAGTACATATAACAGTATATTATTTTGCATTGTACTTTAAAACTAGGACATTACAGTATACAAGGCACCAAGAACATGGGTCAAAATTTTTCAAAGCATGGCAGTCCCACAGAAAATGGGATACCTGCAGGAGGTATGCAAGTTAAAAAAGGGCCAGCACCATCTAGTGCAGGAGTAGTGAATTAATGTTTGTGCTATGACTCAGATCCTAGTATAAATGTAGTAACTGTATGGGGGGAGCATACTGTCAACACTGTGTTTGAGTCATTAACAGTCTGTCACACAGTGACAGAGATACCGGGAGCCAGTAATCAGAGTGCCCCTTTACATCAGCTGCCCCCATTAGAGAGCCTCCTTACATTAGTTGTCCCCATCAAAGTGCCCCCTTACATTAGCGGTTCCTAGAGAGACCCCCTTACACTAGTGTTCCCCCATCAGAGTGTCATGTTACATTAGTTGTCCCCATACAAGTGCCCCCCTACATTAGCTGTCCGCATCAGAGATCCCCTTACATTAATGTTCCCCATCAGAGTTACTAATGTAAGAGAGCACTCTAATGGGGACAACTTGTGTAAGGGGGCACTATGATGAAGACAACTAATATAAGGGGAAGCAAATTACAGGTATGGATGGAAGAAGTTACTCTTCTGTCCTCTTGTGATGCTGGAAGTGGGGCACGTACTTGACATCATTGCTTGTTAGGACGCTGACAGTCCTAGCAACCAAACACTGCAGGGGAGGGGGAGCATGTGCCATTATTGGTTGCTAGGGTGCCAATGGGCCTAGCAACCAATAATTGCAGAGGAGTGTGGCACATGGCATCATTGGTTGTAAGGACACCAGTGGTCCCATCAACTAATGCTTGAAGAGGAGCAGGGGAGGCTGGCCAAGTCCAAGTCCGCACAGTCTCTGAGGCTGGCGCATACACAGTCAGCCAATCATAACCCAGCTTAGGTAACCGATTGTGGTACAAACAGAACCCTCACTTATGTGTCCAACCCTGGTCTGCCATTTAGTGATCCCTGCTATACATTGCGTCCTAAAATGTTCTTAAGTTTCACAGAATTCAGTTCCAGGGTATATACAGTATGTGTGTATATATATATAGTATATATAGTAAACTAGTATATAGTAGTAAACACTGTACAATAAAGCTCTGTTTTGCCAACAAATAAATAGAGCAGTGTACATTGTCAATAATTTGTGTTAACTTATGACTAGAAAATAAAGTTAAATCCCTTAGTAACAAAGAGATTGAATCGTCCTTGTAGCCCTAGTTAAGAAAGCTGAGCTCACATCAGGCAGCTGAACCTGGAGGATTAGCAGACCGGAACTAAACCCGAATATAGAAAAAAAGTAATTATCAGTTACAGGAACAATCTTGACAGATTCATAGTAATCAACCTTTAAACAAACTGAATATCTTACCACTACCTGAAAATAGCATTTGACAATGCATAGTATAGAGTTAATTTTATATATATATATATATATATATATTCTGAAGTCTTTTTACCTGAAAATGTCAAGTAAACTGATTCTGTCCTCAGTTGTGAAATGGAGAGGGAAGAATCAAACTGCTTCCTGTTTGGAAAAATAGATACTGTTTTGATACTGTTGAAACATGTCCGATGTAAGCGTCTTCATTACCCCGTGGGAGTTGGGAGTATATCATAGCTGAGATATTATCTATCGGGAATCAGCCAATACACTTGGTAAATGAGATCACGAGCCTCTCTGACAGAGGAGAAAGCGAGCAGCACAAAGTGTTTGGTCCTTTGGCTAACAGGGCACAGCTGGAGAAGCACTTCTAAATAATATGCTTGCGTAGGCAAGATAAGTAAAATGTTTTTTTAAAGGGTCTCTGGTTACATTTGCTTTCAATCTAATTCTACTGCAAGGGTACACAGTTTCTTTCTTAAAAGCTTCCAGGTGCTATGAGTCATATGTTTCAGAACCCTTTTCCGAAGAAACTCCCCCTATCCCAACCTCATTTGGAAGGGATTCAGCAAATGAGTTAAATAATCTGAATGTTCAGTTCTTTCACATGCTTCATGCTGTTCCCACATACTCTTGTCTTGTTCAAAGTCAAACCTTGGGTTCCTGCACCACCAGTGACAGATTTGTACTGCTTTATGTAAAGTAATTGCCCTAGCATCTGTATATCTTCCTCCATCCCCTGCAGCAACAAGGGAATATAATGGACCAGTGTTGTTTCTCAGCTGCCTTAGCTGCTGTACCAAACATCAGTGGTTCTTCCACCCTGGACTGCATGTGTGTACACCCATGTGCACGTGTGTACAAATGCAGGGAAATCAGAGATTGTGTTTTGACTTGAGATTCAAGACTTGCTTTGTGTCATTTTCATATCATGAGTTTTCAAAAAATAATCTAGTAATCATCCGCAGATTATGGCATCCAAATCAGTCATTACTTAATTTAAACATAACATTAACTAACAGTCACTTATAATTGATAGCAATCCAATTCTAAAGTGAATTAATTATTCTATTGTTCTGTATCATGAAAACATTCTTAAAAGAAATCCTTCCTGTATTAGAATTTGCTCCATCAGAAAAAAAAAAAATATCCTGAAATAGAACACTGAATAAATAACCAGGAGCTAAGCATGATTGAAAAACAGAGTTCGGATTGCAGTGGTGTTTAGTAGGGGGTATGGACATAGTACATTACCACAAGCTCAGAGACTGCATGCAGGCCAACTCCCTCTGCGAAGTTTCTGCTGACTTGTTTGCGATTTAGTAGACTTTGTGTCTGCTCCCCTTCAGATATAACAGCTGAGCTCCAGGCATTTCACTGTGAAGTGTACTGCCTTCTGCATTTACTGAAAGAAAAATTCCATCTGACTGCTCTGGAGGCTCAACAATGACTTTGACTTCCCCTAATTAATAGTCTGAATCTATAATGTAAATGCAGGCTCACATCAAAATTACAAATCTGGACAAAGTAAAAACATGCCACCTTAATGTTCACATTTCATGTAAGCAAGTAATTGAAAGCATGTAATCTTAGGTCTGCTGTCAAAGTATTTTTACAGATTGTGATTTACACAAAACTCGGTGTAGCTGTGATCAAAACGAATGCATTTGTTAGATGTATGCCGTCTGTCTTGATTTTTAACCATAGAGGATCCCAGTGTCAGGAGTTTCATATAATGATACTTTTGACTTTGGGATCCTGTCTAGGAAAATCAGGACAGACGGTATCTTGTATATTCAGCAATGTTATAACATTCAGCAATGTAGCCGATAGTCAAGCTGCTAAACTAGTATAATCATTTTGGACAGGAATTTATAATCCCACAAAATTCATATACATAGCTTCAGTATGCTACATATACACAGCATAGGTCTTTGGAAAAGGGTCAAGGGGTCAAGAGTTTGTAACATACAGAGTGCAGGGGTCAGGAGCACATAACACGCAGGGCTCTGCAGTATGCAGAGCCCAACATAGGTGTCAACAGTATGAATATATACCACAAAAAACTACACACAGCATGTAAAACAGTAAAGCACAGCTGTGTGCTTTAAAATGTGCATTGCACTCTGCTAGCTTTAAAAGCCCAAAGCCGGAAGAGCTCAATAAAAATAAAAGTGAGTATGAAAAACATTAACCAGGAGCAGAGTCATGTCAACACATGACTGGCCTTCCTCCTACTATAGATATATTTGCTCTGTGTTAGACAGATCTCTGTGGGGCACTACAGGCTCCCCACCATGTTCTGCATTTTATTAAAGGGCCATATAATGCAGGTCTCAGTGTACATAACCAAACAGAATATAATGGAAAATAGAAACAAAAGCCACTCTCTGTTATAAATCAGCCACATAGTTTATACAGTTCAGGGGTTAGGAGTATGTAATGTACAACATACGGTATATAGTGCAGCGGTTAGGGGTATGTAATGTACAGCCCAGTAAACAGAATGCAGGGGTCAGGAGTATGCAATGTACAGGTCACAGAGCAAAATGCCCTCAACCCTACCTAAGCACATAACCACAACCAGCAAAAATCTCCCTTCTCCTAAACAAATTCCCCCCTTCCAAGCAAGAAAACCCACCCACTACCCCCAAGAAAACTCATTAGGCAAAAATCAACTTGTGACAAGCAAAAAAAAATCTCCCTCTCCTTTCCCAACCTCCCAGACAAAAATCTCCCTAGCTTCAACACACTCACGACCAGACTTTAGATGCAAATCAGCACCCAGCAGACTGAGGGAAAGTTCTTGCAGGCTTCCTCTATGTGGTGTCATGTGACATGCATCTGAAGTCTACATATGTACAGGGCATTTTTCTGCTATCCAGAAGCCTGTGCATACCTAGTGGTGACATGGCCCCCAGCTAAGCAAAGACTCTCACATAGGCAAAGTATGGGCATCACTGACCCAGGGCACTGACATAGCCCTCTGTTGTCTGGGCCTAATGGTTCCCATAACTACAAATCTGCAGGAAGATGCCGATAAGTGGTGTGGCCATTACTTATGTATGCTAACACAGAGCACTGGAGTAGGAGGAAAGAAAGTGCAATTCCACCGAGAGAAAAGGGTATTCTTTTTATTATTTATTGAGCTTGATGGTAATAAGCAATGTAGGGTTATACTGCCATCTACAGGAGAAATGGACACTAGGCACATAACTATATGCCTGCCCCTTTAAGTCAATAACCCCTCCAACCCCACACATTGTCAGTTACACTTAGAACCTTCAGGAGAATGGATGTTTCCTTCCTCCCTGCTAGAATGTTCCCATTATTTTGTAAGATTTTCTTCTGGTATATTAATGTCAGATATTTAAAATCTTTGATGTTTCTCCAGTAAGTCAAATAGTACTGGTAGATTCAGCCTGGATTTGTTAAATCCTGTTTTAGTCTCTCTAGTCCACCAAGCAAAGTTTTTCCCAGTTTTCCATGCTGGTGTCCTCTCTGTGATGAATGTCCTGCATTCACAGTGGTGAAAACTAGCTATCACAGAACTCTGCATTTAAAGTTGTATCAAACTCCTAAACCTTTCTTCACAAATCATTCCAGAACAAATATACATTGCCCAGAAAGATATTGCTTTAAATTTTTTACCATTACACATTTTTTCCAGTGCAAGATCACAAGGGACAGCACAATCTCCAGCAGCTGTTCATCTAGTAGCTTGGAGATGGGTGCTGGGAGGAGAGGGGAGCAGGGGGTGGGGGAGTAGCTTGCTACACACACAGCTTGCTAGCACACAGAAGGGTGGCTCCATAGAATTCTGCTTTAGAAAGGAGCCACCCTGAAACAGGATATCAGGGACAGTGATTAGGGGACCAGCTAATTCTGTAGTAAACTAACACTTTAAACATCCATTAAAGTGATCTAATCAGCATTTGAAATAGCTTAAAACCCTATTGACTTTAATATCACTTTAAAGTCTGGTCAGTATTTGCCTGTGGATTCCTTGTTGAATGAAGAGAACAGGGCCATGGCATATGGTGAGTAGTGGTGGGCAAACTTGCTAACTTGGGTTCAGTTCACAGGTGCTTTCAGGGAACGTGTCAAGAAGTTCACCATTTGCTAACGTTAATGCAAACCTCATAGAAGTCAATGGGAGATGAATTTTGGAAATACATTCTCTCCATCTTCAAGGCTAATAGTCATAGTATTGTCAAACAAAGGACATGGGGACCTGGGTACTGCCCTGGGGCACATGTACCAATGCAAAAATAAATCAAATGTCAAAATACAGCTTAGCAGGAAGATGTCCCCCATTTTATCAGCAACATCAGAAAACACCAATTCTTAAAAATTACATGCTTCAGAGATGGCTTTAAGCTATATGTGGTTTTATAGAACATTACAATTTTGGGGAAAGTATTAGCGACACTATATCCTGGCATCATATAATTTGTATGTCGAATAAAAAAATGCTTTTTAGGTAGTTTTTGCTGTAACATGATTTTTTTTTAACCTAGTAGTAATAGCTGGAATTGAGCTTTGAATTAGTAGACAGAAAAGATCTATCACCTATTGGAAAGTTTTTTTTTAAAAAGTGACAGTTGCCAAATTTGTAACATTTGTCAAACAGTGGCAAAACTTAGCATAGCTTGTGAACGTTTTTAAGTGTACTACCACACAGTATTGTCTACAAAGTTGAATAAAATATCAACACTGAGTGCACAAAAACACTTCAAACCAAACCACACATTCCAGAAAGGTAGGAGGGGTTGTTATGAAAACTTAAAATACAGAGCCATATTTTAGAGACAATAGTCAAATACATGGCTGGAGAGTATGTAAGAAGCCAGATTGGGCAGCAGTGTATGAGAGAATGACAAGCCAGGTGTTTAAAAACACCTAAAATACAAATTACAGCAGATTATGTCAGAGACAAGAGGAAGAAATATTGCAGACGTGTGGTGCACATCATGTAAGCCTTTTATGTAGGCCATATTTGAAGAGTGGCAGAGGAGGCATTTTTTGATCCAGAAATAACAATTAAATTGCATTATGTCAGAGACATGAGGCAGAAATATCACACAAACATATGTATGCCATTTTTAGTACGGCACATTACAGGAGTGAAAGACAAGGTATTTTTCATCCAAAAATTTAAATTGTCTTGGATTATGTCAGACACAAGGCAGAAATACTACACAAACACGTGTATGCCTTTTTTTAGTTGGCCACATTAGAGGAGTGAGAGACAAGGCACTTTTTATCAAGCAATTAAAATTGTTTTGGATTATGTCAAAGACACAAAACAGAAACATGATACAGAAAGCAATGAATAATTGGCAGTAGATGATAATAGGTAGCAGGCCAGGAGAGGTGGCAGTAAATGGCGATGGATAGGAGGCCAGCAAAGATGGCAAGAAATGGTAATGGATGGCAGGCCAGCAGTAGTGCCATCTGTCACCATCTCTTGCCAACACTGCAGGTATGCCATCGATCACCATCTCCTGTTAGCACTGCTTGTCTGCCATCTATCACCATCTCCTGCCACCACTACTAGCCTGCCATCCGTCACCATCTTCTGTTACTGCTGCTGGCCTGCTATCCATCAGCATCTACTGCCACCACTGCTGGCCTGTTTCCCATTATCATCTACTGCCAATGATTCATTGTTTTCTGTACAATATTTCTGCCTTGTGTCTCTAAAATAACGGTAACTGAGCTGTCACCATCACCAAGTTGCACAACAGGGGATAGCAACACCAGCAGCGGTAGTGTGCCCCAACCTGTATCCTTCCTGTCTGGCAGGAAATTCATTCAGTGGGCTGTAAATGATGTAGCATCCCTGCCCTTGTCTGTGGTCACGTAGACTGTGCCACTTACCACATGCACATGCATGATCCAGCGCAGCGACAATTAGACATTTCCTTCCACATGCTGGTGGAAGGAAGGGGTGCCTTCTGGGCAAAAATATATTAACTAGGTATTTGCCACTGTGGTAAAGCACAGGCTACAAATTTGCGGAAGGGGGGCAGATGTGATGCCAGCAATTTAGCTAAGCTGCCATTGAGACGCTGGGCATACGGGCAGCTTGCTACATATTTTTACTTCCACTTCAGCAGCTGGGGAAGAGACACTTGCCGCATCAAGGATGTAGCTGGAGATAGTAGGGTGTGGTTTGGAGCCTTTGAACAATGTTAAAGCCTATGCTTGGAACTAAGTGTGGACACATGCTGATCCTCTACCCTGGTTGATGTGCCATAAGCTATGTCTCCCAAACCACTTGTCAGATTCCCATCCCTATTACTTGATACTGCATATGTTGCAGCAAATGCAGATGGAGATTCCTGTGGACTGGTGGAAAGACA